TCAGACTTTCAGAGGTAGTCACATGATCATTCTCTTCCTTCCTGATTCAGCTCAGCAGTCTATGTCATGGATGAAGGACCAACCTTTCTCCTTTTCATCCCTCCATCGTAGCCCTTGTTTCTCCCTGTGTGACTCTGTGACACCTCTCTATTTGTTTTAATGAAATTTCTGAGGAACAAGGATACATCTTGTCATTAGTTGTGTGGGAACAGCTGAAAGCTGTGGCAGGACAGGCTCTACTGAGTTAGCTCCATCCTGGCTGTGTGAGCACAAGTTGTCTTCTTCACTTCTCAGTGTCCCAGGGTCTTCAGCTGTATAATCATAGCCAATAGAGTGCCTGTCTGAAAGCGCTCTCATGAAGGGCAAATGGGGCTATAAAAGTATCCTTCGGAAATTATATTCCATTAATTATTCAAAGCTGGGAGTGACCATTCACTAAATAACCATCCCCAGGAATTAATGTGACCACAGCAGCCATGTAGAGCTACTTCTGTTACTCTTTTCTTTGGGGATAGCACAGAAAAGCTGTATTTATGCACTGATGGGCTTCCTTGCCAGAGTCCCCCAGCACCCTCCATACTAGTCACACCTCAGAGAATCCAAGAGGTATCTAGGCAACACACACTTAGGGGTTCGAAATTGGTGAAAGCAACCAAATTAACAACCATGGAAACTTAACACTTAGCTGGTTAACCACAAAATAGCAGCTTCATTTCTAGTGAATCCTTGGCCCAGTCTTGGGGCTTCCCCAAGAAGGTGTTAGCAACTAAGGTGATATTTACTGTTGCTCGATCTCCCTCCCACCCACTCTCTCACTTTCAGGAGTATTAGCCTTAAGCCTGCCTGGTACCTGTCTGCATCCTCTACAGGAGGTTCTTCAAGGGCATCATCCAGCTTTAGTCTTGGAGCACTTGAGAAAAGGGAGCAATCAATGTAGAAGTGCCCAGAAGGACGGACTGGGAAACTTGGTTTAAAAGATCAAGCTTGGTGCAACTGCAGTAGACATGCGCTACCCAGAGTTGGCTTTGCAGAGTGAAGAACTTGATATGTAGGTTAGGGCATGAAGCTGTTGGTGTCATGAAGTAGCTTTGAGTTTCTCAGCCTGTGGTACCAAAGATGTCGATGAGGAAGTGAAGGAAAATGAGTTTGTGGTTCCTTGAACATTTCTATAGATTTTAAATGTGTCATGGGTTTTGTGTGTGTGTGTGTACTAACCCTTACCCCAGAACAAAACAGCTATTAAACATTACTGTAGTATGCCTTTAAACTGGTACCTGTTATGACCCTCTCCTGTGCCCTAGCACCATGATAGTAGCAACTGTCCTCTATTAGGCTGATATACCATGCCAAGAGATTGACTAGTTACCTATGCTTCATCAGCCTTCCCATATTATATGGTGGGTGTCTTTGTTCCTGTTTCCTTTGTGAGAAGGCCATTTGACCTGATTTCCATCCAGCCGCTCTTTCTCTGAATTTACCCATTGGGTAATCATCTCCCTCAGCCTTATTTTTGTCTATGTAGAAATTGATATTTGCACACTTATGTTCCTTGCAAATTGTAGTTCTTGGTGCAAAAGTGGGTTGCAAAATCAATTTAGTAAATTTTAAAAGAGTGTATAAAATAACAAATGCATCCCACTTACTGTTGGGTATATGTATGGTGTGTATGTATATGTGTGTTGTATGAAATCATTTCCTATTGTCAAAAAGTTTCAAACTACTAATCTAGAGTTAGTATACAAGCCAAATGTACATAAAATTTTCTAGGTCCTTTTGTAAAGCCTCCATCGTCCTTTAGGTCTGAGGTACTATTATTAGTTGGCACTGGAGGCTGGAGTGGAGAAGGCAGCAGTGGTTCTGTTATTAAAACCTTACTACAGCCACAGGATCTGTGTAGACCCTGACTGCCACCACCACATCATGTCCAGTAGACATAGTCACCCAGGCCTCAGAGACAAGCAGATTGTAAAACCTACTCTAGGCTTACAGGTATTTGGAGGTCTTTGTGGCAATCTGTGGTTATAAAGTAAACAGCACTTACACAGCCCTAATTCCCATTTCAACTCAAGGAAAGCAGATGTGATCCCTATGCAGTATGAAGGCCTTTTTAAATAGGCCTCTAAAGCAGTTGGCTACTGTCTTACCCGTCATGATGCTGTCTGTATTACAACCTCAGTCTTCATCTGGAAGTGATTTCCCCCTTTCTCTCTCCTAAAGGGTATCAGATCCAGACTGTCTAGCTAATTTCTCTTGAAACAAAGATGACAGGAGTCTCTCTAGCATGCCCATTTTCACTGAAACTTGTTCTTCACATGCTAACTGTAATCCAGTTGCATGGAACATAGGGTGAAGATCCCCAGCAACTTCCCTGAGGGTCACAGAAGGAGCAAGGGCTTCCTTCTCTACCCTCACAGGTGAACTCCTCCTCTACATCCTCAAAGTGAGCTTGCAAAAAGACAACTCTACTTGCAGTGTTTGTGGAAGGCACTTCAGTAGACTAGCCCATGTGGACACGGTGGACTGAAAGGCACATGTCAATGCAAACTTCAACACACGAGAAGCATGTGTGTGTGGATTTTAAGACAAGATTCAACATGCCATTCTGAACTGTGTAAGGAGGAGCCCAGGCAGTACAATTAAGAGAACAGAAGGCAGGCTTAGTGTTTTATGGATCTCGCTAATGAATGAGTCCTGAGGCTTCCGCTGGACCGACTTCCCAGCACCCTGCCAGCCTGCTTCCCACACATCTGTAAATCCGTCAAGCTCTAATTCACGGCTGGTGCCAGCAGAGGCTGAGGTCTAGGCCTTCCTCTCTGGAACACACAGAGATCTCAAGTCATTAATAATTCACTCTGGAGTAATGAACAAAGCTGTACCAAGTTGCAAGCTGAAGTAATCAAGTGACAGATCAATTTATTTCTGCAGTGCCCAGATATAATAGTAGCAATGAGAAGGTACAAGCTTGTCGCTGAAAAGTTTCTCAAGACTTAGATCAATGTGTTTTAAGTTCCAGAATAAAATGGATCATTAAACGGGAAATGAATTTCTTGGGTAGCCTCAAGCCTATTTATATTCAGAGTTGCCAACCAAGAATTACTGTACTGTGTTTCCAAATGCCTTTGTACCTCAGGGCCTGCAAATCAGAGTGATTATTACTCATTAATTAAATCTAAGAAGTGGAACACAGCCCGAGACTTTGAAAAGGGAGGTTGGGATAGTTCAGGTACAATTATCCCCACATTATTGATAATCAGTAGACATTTCTGTTGGTTGAGAATATTAGTCTTACATCTACCAAGAAGTTCCCATCATGCTTTTAAGTTTCATTAAATGTCATTCTGCTCGTCAGTGGCTCTGTCAAGTTCAATACCTCAGTCTCTGTGTTCATTCTCATGATGGAGACATCATCACTGAGTGAGGACATCTGTCTGAGTCTGGGATAGAGGACTAGGAAGAGACCAGGGCAGGTGCAGAAAGCAAGGGACTGTGTGAGCCGAGCCTTACGGAGAAGATTTGTCAAGCACAGAAATAACAAGAACATTCTAAGCCAAGGAATGACATTGGCAAGAGCAGAGAGGTGGGAGCAGAGGAGGAGGATGGTAGAAAATTATTCTCATCAGTACGCTTCCCATTCGAGATCACATTCAACCTGAACCGCATGGATGAAGTGGGTGGGCCATCCACCCTTACTACTCCTTTTAAAGAGAGGAGGGACCCAACACCTTCATGTTTGACAAAGTACATTACTTGTCAAGTGACCCACAGCTGAGAAGTAGCAGAAGCATAGAGAGGAGTTGGAGGAAGGTGTGCTTCTTCTATGAGTATCCATAAGTATACATCAAATCTGTAAAATTCTACATATCCAGAAGTGTATATCAAATGTTAAATTTGTTTGAAGTAGAATTTCAGTAAAGACTGGGTTTAGAAACAGACATTTAAAGTAGGGGGATCCTTTCTCCTACATAATGGAAGTCTACAGGAGAAACAGCGCAGGCATTGCTAGGCTTTGATGAAAGATACTAAGTGTCAATAGCACTGACTGCTGGGGACATCAGTCTATGGACAGTGTCTGTTCCCAGATTTCTCTCTAGATTCAAATTAGTAATAAATAGTTTCCTTCATCCAGCAGATAGGTGATTAAGGAATCTTCTAGTATTTCCTAACAGAGCCGAATGACATGAACTTGTTTATTGCCAGTAAATAATTCCTAAGTTTTTATTCAAGGGGCTTATGAACCACTGAGATTTATAGCTTGGGCATGGAGTTCAGATATACGTATTTTGAATTGTTGTTTGCCTAAAAATATGCATGTGTATTTAGCAGATTACTCTGACCAGGCTACTACTGACCTCATCCCTTCTTTAAACGTTGAGTGTACGTGCAGTAGACACACAGGTAAACAGTAGCACATTTTTTAATTTCTGTTTATGTCACATGTTTCACTTAATGCAAACCTCATGTTTAATCAAATGGGCTTTAATACTTAGTGTTTAGAGTACCAAATTTCCTGATGTGGTTAGATACCAGCTCTTTCCTTTTGAAAGAAAGCTATATCTATTTTGAGCTTATTTTTACAAATGAATAAACCAGGAGCTTCTTGATTTGCATTGGAGACAGTGCAGAGGGAAAACCCCTTGGTGGTTTAAGAAGCAGACAGGTACAGAAGTTGTAATCCAGACGGATGAGGAGTTACTTGGATTTAGAGAGTACTGACTTAGGTGAGCAAAACCTCATTACCTGGCAGATGGCCTTGACTGGTTGGCTGATTGGCTGGTTGTTTTAGGCAAAGTGGGAATCATATCCTGAAGTGAATACTGAATGAGATCTGTGAACACTGTAGTTGAAAGTACAAAAGAAAACTTGCTCTTTGATTCATGGCATCCAAGGATGAATCTTGAGTCTTGCCTCCTCTAGATACAGGCAGGAAAGTCAGAAGCACCCATGGAGGTGAGCCGTCTGGGTGTACACGACATCTCTCACTTATTCTTTCCCCTTTCCAGTGTTGCTAACAACCACAAGCAGAATCTGATGACAGTGGCAAACCTTGGCGTGGTATTTGGACCCACCTTGCTGCGACCTCAGGAAGAAACAGTGGCAGCCATCATGGACATCAAGTTTCAGAACATTGTCATCGAGATCTTAATAGAGAACCATGAGAAGGTGAGGCAGAAGTGGGCCTTTGTGGGAGAGAGTTGTGTGTTCAGCTCTGTGGGTGCGGGCTACATTGGAGCTGACCTTCATACTTAATTAGGTTTGCATTGCTAATGGTGCTTGAATGGTGACAGTGGTGAAGTAGCTGATTGTCTTGGTCGTGGTGGTGATAAATGTGAGAGTGCTGATGGTGGTGACAGCAGTGGCTCCTAGTGTCTCTAGAGGTGTGGGGATGGGCAGAGTCTCATTGAGTCCTTGCTCTGTCTCAGGGACTGTGCTGAGCACTCTTTGTTGCTGTTTCTCTTTGACTTTCAGAGAAGGGGTACTATTATGAGCCACAGTTTAGAAAACCGTTTTACTTTTTACTCAATTGTCTTAGAACTATATGGGCATGTTACTATTAGGTACACTGAAGTTTTCTCATCTGTTTTGCAAATATTTTTCCTGTTGTCTGCATTTTGATTATATAGATAGTATGCATGTATTCATTTGTGTGCATTTGAATGTGTTTATATATGCTTGTGATCTTTGCCTTCAAGGCACTGGAGTATCTGGTCTATTGTTTGTTAAAATATTTTTAAATATTTGTTAAACTATTTTTTCCTTAGAGAGCTGTATAAAGATGTGAAATGCTTTTCCCTTCCATCTATTCCTGGACTCCTGAAGTATACGCTTTACTACCTTCATGGCCTTGTCCCTTAAAATCCAGTGTAGTCCAGTCAGTCATTACCTACATGCACAAGGGGACAACTATATCCACTAGAGCACATGAAGCCTCCAGGAGCCACAGTCCTAAAGGAAAATAACCAGTCTTTCTCCCCTGCCATCAATGCCAGCAGCTCCTCAATAGGGGCGGGCCTCCAAAGCTCTTCCCTCATCCTTGCTGGAATTCTGGCTAGCTTGATCTCGCCAAGTGAGCACAGTTACTAAGAGCTCCCGAGTACAACAGTGTGTCTCAAGACCACCCTCCACCCCTCATTCATCATGAAATACTTTAACACCATTTGAGGCCTGCTCAGTCAGTCTCACTACTCCCAGTAACAAATCCCTGAGAAGCCTCTCAGAACCTGTGCAGGTTGCTCCAAGTGGCTTTTTCACAGACATGACTCTGGAATTTGATTTAAATAAAAATAATAATACATGTTCCCCTTTCTAAATAAAGCCTTTGCCTAGAATGAGTAAATTCATGGAAAACAAATTTAGATTCTGACCATTCCTTTTACACAACAATATTATTGGTAATAATAATGCAAGCCACCATTACCCCTGGGCTGAGTTTTGACAAGAGCCTCCTAATTTGCCTCCTCATTTCCACCTAGACCTGTTTGTTCTGATATCACCTACCAAAATGACACTTCTGACATGCCAAATCAGCTGACATCAGTTGTGCACTACCTAAGCTATCCAGTGACTCCCCACATGGCTGGGACGGAAGGCCATTCTTGATAGGAGCATGTGAGTCCCACGCAGTCTTTATCTTCTCTCATGCCTCCTGCTGCCTCCTTGGCTTTGACAGTTCTGTGGTTCCTTGGACATGTCAGGTACACTTATATTTTGAATCCTTAGAAATTGCTGTTCCCATCACCTGGATGGGGCTCTCTTCCACCTTAAGAACTACATGGCATGTTTTCTTTACCACTGTCAAGTGTCTTCGGCAGGGACTGCCCAGACCTCTTCATGTAGAATGTTATAGGCCCAGTCATTTCCCTTCCCTCTCTCTCTTCTCTTTCTGTAGCACTCACCTCTGCTGCCAGGCTGGGTCATTTATTTACTCATCAGACTAATAGTTTTCCAACCTCTTTGATGTTGGCATTCAGACTGAGCCCCTGATGAAATACTAATGGCTTTGTAAGAGAGTGATCAGAATGCTATCTCCCTCTTTCTCCCCCTCCTTCTCCCTCTCTCCATACCTCTCTCCCTCCTCCTATCTCTTACATGCACACACTTTGTCTCTTAGGTTTCAATGCCCTACACCTAAACTTGCAAGAAGGCTGCAATCAGATATGGTTCCTTGGCCTTAAGCCTACACAACTATGAGCTATACTGTTTCTTTTCTTCAGAAAGTTACCAGACCTCAGATATTTTACTCTAGTAATGTAAAATGAGCTAATACAGTCTACACATGTTCCAGACATGTGAGTTCCTGTGAGTGTAGAAACTTCCTTCTTTCTGAGCTCTGTTTACTGAGAGAACCTTCCTCTGTCCTTCATAGGAGTCTTAGTGATATACCTTCAGACTGGCTAGGGAAAGCATAGGAGCCACACAAGTACTGGATCTCAAAGGTCTAGAGTCTTTGTTCCAGCTTATCTGGGAGGGAGACAGTATTCTGCAAGGTTATTAGGAAGCAAATGTCCCTGAATAAGGAAAGGTAGAGCAGAAAAATGTATAAGATACCATAATGTTTGAGGATCCTTGAGCTTTCCATGAGTCCATGTTGGTAATGCATACTGATTTTTTTTATTCAGTTGAACCGTAGGATAGTTTTAGTAAATATGGTCCAGAAACATAACTTGATAAAAATAGCTTTTACTTACGACGTGTTCATGAGATGCTGTCTAAGCAGTCACATAGCTGCCATCTCATTTAATTTTCCTAGCAGCATTCAAGAAAACGTTCAGCATCTTTTTCCATCAGGAAAATGCAAATTAAGACTAGTTTGAGATTGCATCTCAGTAAGCCAGGATGGCTGTCATCAAAAAGATAAATGGCAAGAAATGCTGGAAATGTGGAGAAGAGATACCGCTACATACTGCCAATAGATTTACACACTGGTGCAGCCAGTGTGGAAATCAATAGGTATTCTCCTCAAATGCCTGAAAATATTTTTCCACCAGGGTCTATATGCCTGGGTCTTCACTGGCATTCTGTGGCCACTAGAGAAGAACAGAATTGAAAGTGTTTGAATTGAAAGCTCAACATATTTACTTTACATTAATGGTTACTTCTTTAAAATGTCTAATTCTATATGAGTAGAGTCCTCTCCATCTCACAGGTTAACCTGGAGGCTTAAACTATCAAGTACACAAATACTTAGGATTATAGTAGAGATAATATTCATATTTCTAGTTATAAATAAAAAATAAAATATTACTGCTATCATCTGAAATATCTCAAAGTTAGAGAAATTTAACAATTTCTTACAAAATTTTCCCTCTAATCACTTTCTAAGGGTTAATGTATTGATGGCTTTTAAAGTTGTAGATGCTGAGGAAGAACAGACACATGTCGGGAAAACACATTGCTTTCTTACTGTGCTTCAGGCTGGTTGTATTTGTTATAGGGCACTGTTCAGTTCTAACACACAACAGGAGATTGATCCCTTGGGTTCTGTGACAGTTTATAGCATTTCGTTTGGCTGTGGCTCTGGAGAAGGTTTCTGGAGAAATAGGAGGATGCCTCTGTGTACACATGCCTGTTAGCCGGGTGTGTTGCTGTCATCATCTGTAAGATGTGGACAGTAGATCTTTAACTATCAACTGTCAGAAGTGTATCCTTTTCAATATATGTCAACTCTTGATCTCATGTGCCAGAGATGAGCTAGCAACCATAGATGACCTTACTGAATACACAAGGTAAGAGGCCAGCTCTGTGCAGCTCGTATCCTCAGTGACATAATAGTCACCCTCCAGTCAGTCAGTGCAATTTAGGCCCACTCAATTGCCTTCATTTGCCCTTGCCAAAAAAAAAAAAAAGGTTGATGGCACCGAATTTATTACACTCCTCTTTGACTTTATACACAAATTGTATATTAATTAATATACAGTTGGTTAATCTGCACCTGGCAGGTTTTGGCATTTGCTTTTCATTTTCTTAATATTTCACATTTGTTGGTATGCAAAATCAACACTAATAATGATAACATGTGCCCAGATTCACTGCAACCATCCTGCTGTTGATTTGGATCCTCTCTTTGTAAACCTGAGGAAACAAGGCAGATGGACCTGTACATTGGAACACAGTGCTTCTTCTTGGTCCTATAACATCTTCCTTCCTAACAGCAACTGCTTTGTAGAATGCTCTATTAATGTACTGAGTTTGTCGGTTTGAGTACATAGTTACCGCTATTTAACTCTAGGTAAACTAACAGTTATTTATATTGCAAAGCTTTTTAATATCCCTCAAATGGGACTACGGTTTGATGTTGCATTTTATATAATTCTTTTCTATTAGCAGAGGTAGTAGGAAATTAGACTTTTTCTGGAGATAGAGAAAATCATAACACACACACACACACACACACACGCCATCTCTGTATGTATGTGTCTTTAGTTACTAAAGATAATGGTTCCTTTTTAAAGATTTTAAGTAAAATTCCCCAAACTACTTTCCAAATTTGATCTCTGCCCTGCCCCCAAATGCTGATAGCAGCAGGGTTTAGGATTTCCAACTGTCCCTTTAAAACCTCTCTAGCTATAGCCTCTGGATCTGGCTTCTTCACAGTTAATGACAAAGAAGCCCTGCAGTGGCTTACCTGAGTCACAGGCTTGAAGTTGCTGGGCTTCAGGCTCCACCTGCCCTGTGCTTTAGCAGACCCAGTGAGCAGGGGAACTGCAGCCCTCCCTTCCCAAGGCCAGTATTCCTCATCTACTCTAGTGTTACCTGAGACCCTGATGAATTTGTGTCTTAAGAGCAGTTCCCAGTGTCAGCTGTCAGCTAGGCTGCTGTTCTACATTGTGATCACCAAGGCTGGAGAGTGACTTACTGAGTCAGCTATAGACTCAGAAGCTCTTCATCATAACCTGATTTTCCTCCTATAAAAACCACAGCACATAATAAAGAGTACAGGGCACACTTTACAGAGAGACTCCTAATCCTTTTCAATTGCAGGGGCATGTGACAGCCAGGATTAGCAAAGGTGTAAAAATGTGTGAGCAACACAGCTAAGAACAAATTCCGCAAGTGTCAGGGCTCCACAGCATCAAGATGGGCCTGAAAAGAGCCCCAAATCCCTAAGCTCTGTAAGTCACACAGGGGAAAAAGACCATCAATACTAACATTGCTACAGGTAG